GTTAGAATATTTTCCCAACATTCATTCACCCCTCTTCTGTATCTATTCACCCCGTTTTACGGTATGTACTTTTGGATGTAGGTACTAAATTATATCTGTTTTTCAGATGGCAACCAATTGTCACTGTCTCTAGGTATATTAAAGCAATTTCTATTTTCTTACTTGCATATCAAAAACCTTGGCTGACTGTAAGTACTACTTAATCACTAAACTTAAAGTTGAAAGTGTCACCAAAGTTGAATTTCAAATATTGTAATAATTTGTTAATAATATAAATATTCTCATCCGATTTGTGAAAGTTATTATTATAATAATGTTTACTTTAGTGATAGTAAGAACTTGGCATTGACAGTTCTGAAGGTTACAACGATTCATAATCGTTATCGTAATAATTAGGTACGCGGGCAGATTTACTTCATTGTTTCCTACACATTAACCGGCTGAAAGTTACACCATAATACATTTCACGATACTTTACTTACAGTAAATGTACTAATAATTGCGAAAGTTTCCGCGCAGTAATCTGCAGCTGTAGCCAAATGCCATTTAGCGCTTGTCTACATGTAGAATAGAAATCCAAATTATATGGGATTGACGTAAATTTTGACACTTGTCAGTGTCATCCCAATACATTTTGATTTCTACTCTCTCTGTAGACAAGCGCTAAAGTGGCGTTTGGCTAAAGGCACTGTAATTACTAGTCAATTAATTGACAGCCGACGACCAATGGCTTTGTGATTACTTCCTAATAGATCCTCACTTTATCGACTCGTTAAACTATAATTCTGCGGAGAAGTCACGAATAATGCAATCAATTAGGCAATTTTTCTTCAGATTAGATCCTAAGGGTTACCTTAGGATCTAATCTAGGAGGGTTACCTCATGCTAGGGTCAAAAACTTAGTTACATCTGCTATTTGTTTCACGAAAAGATATTGCTTAGCAACATAAGTTAGCTTATTAACATCACTGAAAAATATAATTTACGACTCTATAATAATAGAGTATTAGTAGTAGTTATACGAAAGTTGTAATATACCTATGTTATTACATAGGTATGTTACAACTTTCGTGAGACATACTAAATTAATTATCATGTTTTTCGGCTTACTCAGATAACGTAATTATTTGACGAGGAACTCGACTAGTTTTAAGCCATGCTAGAGGCTCATATTCATGAGCAGCATTCTGTAAGTCAAATAAATACGTGAGTAAGCCAAAAAACATAATAATACGAGTCTATTATTATTAGCGATAACATAACAATACCTACTTTCATTGGCCTGAATATCTAACATAGTAGTAACACTCCACCTGAGCACGGAGCTCTATAACCTTGATGGGTAAATATATAAATCCTTTCTTTCTATATAAAATCCAACTAACTGATTGATTAATATTAGTCTCTAATGGCAATTCTGAGAAAGGCTTAATTCCTATTGATCCGATAATGGTAATCTGTTAATTTCTTGATAACTATTATTGGCCCCGAGTTGTAATATTTTTACACAGGCATTATTAGGTCAGTGCTCAAAATAAACATAATCTAAAGTCGACAAGAAGTGTTTCAGTCAATTAGAGAAGCGATCTCAGTGTCGACTCGTGGTCGCTGGCCAGTGCGCACTGACGCAGAACATCCTCAGTAGCTACTGAGCCGTGAAGATAAAAGATCAGTTGCTCGCTGACCCGCCACGGAAGAAGATACTCTTCCTCATGATAACAAATAAATTGGGAAAGAAAAGAACTACGTGATAGAAAAAACACAGTTGAACTGAGAGCTATAGAATAACCTGTGTCAGTCTGTCATTTCGGACTAAACCACAGAACAGTTGAACCGTTTCTAATGAGATTACATAAAAACAAATCATTATAATAAAAAAACTGTTTTTATCCAACATTTAGCAATTTGTGGTATTGTAATAAATACAATGTATTTATAAAACCACTGCAATGTTACTATTACGACTACTACGAGGCTACGGAATACACATACTATAATAATGAGCCAGAAAGTTTCGCGAGAAGAGACCACCGAACAAGTACCCCATGAAGTTCACTTGGATTACTTGGATTTAAGTTCCTCGAGAACCTTATGTTATTACCGAAATTATTATAATTTCGAGAAAAAGAGAAGACCTTAAAATAATAATGATTACCTTCTTGACAAACTTTCAAGTGTGGGAGAGCTATGCTTCGGCACGAATGGGCCGGCTCGACCGGAGTGATACCACCAACGAGCAGAAAACCGACGTGAAACAACGCTTACTTTATATTTCGGCGTGTTAGTAATGAGGTTAGAGGACGTCCAATTATACCCCCCACCCCCTTTCCCAATCTCTCCAATCCCTGAATCCCCAATAATCCTCAAATTCCTTATCCGCAAAAGGCCGGTAACGCACGCCAGGGCGACGCCGATTGCTTACCATCAGGTGATCCGTCGACTCGTTTACTGGCTTATCCCATAAAAAACACAATGGTGCTAGTGTAATGCTGTTAGTTTACAATCTTGTACCTGTCGAGTCTACTATGTCATCAGTACTGTACTTATTAGATAGATGTGGTTCACATAAAGTCTGATGTTTAAGACTTTGACTGCCAATAAAAAACTGTTGAAGGTAAATCCTCCGCTAACGCCGGTCACCGGTGACCGCCATGGCGTTTAGCGTGTTAAGGTTTTTATAGGAGAAACATTGTTACAAATCAATGCGTAGTCTTAAGGAAAACTACGGATAGTAGATACACAATGGTACAAACCAGCTCATCAAGATAACCGTATGTGACACAATCAGATTGTTTTTGACTTTATTACAAAACGATAAAGTCGATTTCTTTTAATATTTTATCGATTCAGATTCAAAGTCAAAGTCATTTATTTCAATTTGACCAGAAAGCCACTTTGGAAGGTCAACAAGAAATTAACAGTGAACCTATTTGCTAATTCCAATGTGTAGATTCCTATGGAGAAGAACGAGCAAGAAACTCCATAGGTTAAGTTCGGACTGGTTTCAAGTGCCCGGTGTACCTAGAGCAAAATTTTACAATAGCAACTAGTATACATACTTCCGACCTTTCCTCATTGTACACTACAATAAGATTCCAATTCCAATAACCAATTACCATTCATCAGTAGTGAATCTTAAGAAGATGACACAGTAAGCGACCTTGTGATTATCAAGTACTGCCTTACACTTCTTCCGCACTACCTGATTTCCTTCCTACTCATTTGAATTATGTTAATTTTTATTAAGTATGGCATAATTAGCAAACTGGTTAAAATCTAAAATTAGGTAATGTTTTCTATATTGATAGGCGGTTGCAATTTTGTACCTAACATAACATAACATTTTTTATCCCCGAAGGGATAGGCAGAGGTGCACATTAAGCCACTGTACAATGTAACACCCACTTTCCACTGTTATGAGTCCCATGTAATAGGGGGTGAGCCTATGGCCATATACCGAGCACAATTACAACCTCCGTGCTACTACTGAGAATTTCTTAAAAACCCAGTAATACTTTGCCCGATTTTTGAGTCAGTAAAGATCAATCGAGCACAAAATCGAAACCCTTCAAAGTGACAATGTTTAATGGATTTGATGAAACATTTTAGTATAATATGACCCTAATAAAGATAAATATAGGTGTAAACGCAATCTCTACTAGACTTCGTGGTGCCATTCATACGTCATACAACTTTAAACCTAGCGGCAATGACATTTATGATCTAGGACAATATTAAACAGCAAGGACTTTGCAGCAATAAGTTCCGCTATTGACAACGTTTAAGTTTAAAAAATGATATATGAATAACTATAATTCATCGATCACTACTTACAAATCCATTGTGGTCTGATTGTTAATTTATACGTCAACAAAAGTATTCTGTTGTATTTTAACAGTCTGTACACAAACCAATATGTGTCTTTAATCAATTTGACCATAGAATTTTATACTTTAGAACATTTCATTACATTGACTAGATGTATTATAATAAAAAAAAATTGTATGACAAGGGCACGGACCTAGAGTCCGTGGAGATTTAATCTGTAATATTACATAAAAAAATATTTCATTATGTTGTATAGCTTTAAATGCCGGTATTGCTTCATAGCTGGTCTAAATAGAGCTGATTCTGATTGTCAGGATCAGGTGGTTTTAGTGAGAATTTATATATTTCTTTCTAAAGGCTATTAAAAAGACCATATGCCATAGCATTGCTGTTGATACCAGAAACTAGACAATGGATATCGCGCTGTGTTTTCCAAAACATTGCTTAGGTAAAAACATCAATCATTTCGATTTGCGTACACGCAATTAAGATCTCTATCTAGTCTCAAATCCCTGTAAAGGAAGTAATTCAATCGGTGCAAGTAATGTTATCGGAATCAATAAGTCGTAGGTGTGGTACTGAGTCTAAGGCTCCGGGCTCGGCACACAATAATTGAATCTTTGACTTTGTATCACCAAGGCATTTCTTGTTTTGAATTCGTCCCATTCAAAGTTTAAGGGAATAAGCAACGACGTGATACTTTATTGTTTTATCAATTTATCATCGTTTTGTAATAAAATCATTCGCGCAAAATATTTGACCCTCATCAATATCACGTTATTAAAATCAGTAAATCGTAATTATATCTTCAATTATGATACACGAATAGTACCTATTATCATAATGATTATTGCGAAAGATTTTATACTTAAATTACCGTTTGGAATGAAAGCAAATAATTTACATAATGCGGAGCTAATTAGTTACATTTTAGTGCATTAAGTAGTAAACAATAACTTGTGTACTACGAAGGCCAATATTCGGTCAAACCTTATTAAGTAATTCTATATTCAAGACAGTTAATAAATTTTTATCAATAATATTATTTTCCACAGGTCAATTATCGCACTTTGGAAAATAACGGAATATAGTCAAGTTCGTGTTCACTCTTTTCCCTAAATATTAATTAGTAAGTAACTGCCATTACAACCGAAGGAATGAAGGCCACCTACCTATAAGAAACTTCTCCTGCAGCGAAGATATACTGGCTGTTGTAGACAGCACTCATCAGGATGACGACGAGGATGAAGCAGTAATTCCTGATCTGGTACCGGCCGAACTGGCCGAGCTCCAGCAGTATCGCGTCCAGGTCCACGGTCCCGGCCATCGTATCGGTTGGTCAGTACCACGAGAAGACGACACTTGTCTGTCAACGCCAGCGAGTGTGTGAGACTGGCGAGGCGGCAGTATCGCGCGGCGGCCACTGCGTCGGCCAGCAGGTAGCCGTGTCGCTGCACTCACTCGCCACTATCACCACCGCTTATCAATAATCGAACTAAATAATCTCCTACTGAGACGTCACCACCAAACGTAACACTAGATTACATCCTTCGCTTGTTACACACGTACTTAACATTTGAGTTATCGGCAATACAACACACGACGATACGATATCTCTGACGATACACGTGCGCGTGAAAGGTCAAGATACAATTCTAAACAAATTCATTTCAATAATTAAATACATTTCGGTATAAAACTTATACTAAAGTATCTCAGTGATACAGTACGATACGACTGCTAGTGTTGTTATTGTGACAAAGACATTGGTCACTAAACGGCCTTGTTTATGTAACCGGCAGAATGGACAAAATAAAACCGCAGAATCATTAAAACATCCGCGTGTAGGTGATAAAAGTGCACTTTGTCATAAATAACTGATTGCTCACTGACATCGTGAAAAGGTAACGTAATGACTACGTCACACAGGATAGACCAACGCATTTCGCAACTTTATTAATTTTTTTATCACATAAAAGTATTTGAATTTGACAAACACTATTTACTTGCTGATAAAACAGAATTAATATAAGAAAATAAAATCTGCGTTTAATAAACCGACTTCAAAAAACCAAAAACAAACAAAAAGTCAAAACTAAAAAGCAAAAAATAAATAACTACCTATCATTAGAACTGATAGGTTACCCACCCACTGATTGGTTAGAAGTCGGCGCCATAAATTCTGTACAAAACTATTAATTAAAACCTTAATAGATACCTAATTTACAATTTACAATTTTGTGGCCGGTAAGTTATATCATTGTGATATGTGCTTATTGTTTGCTTTTCAGCCGGACATTATGTTCGGCTGATTGTTTGAAAAAGGAGGAGGTACTATAATAGTACTAAGATAGTACCTACCTCCTCCTTTTTTTGAAGTCGGTAAAAAAGAAAATCAAATCTAACATCCAGTTACTTTAGGCAGGTACGTACGTACAGAATTGTACCTATCTACTGAAGATGAAGGAAAATATTTTTACCGCTTCCGTGAATATAGGTACTATGAACATACCAATTACACTAAATACCTACCTACCTACTGGTTAACGACTGAGGATTGCGATGACGTGGTAAATTTAAAATGATTACTTACAATAACCACATAACCGTATGAGTAAAGTCTGTATCCGTGGAATGTCTTTAAAAGCAAAAGTACTTACTAGACTTCACTCTTTTATTTCTTGCCAACATTTGACGCGGAGAAGTTGAGTTCTCCAACTCCACACATTTTCAGTTCGTATTTGAAGTTTGATTTTTGCAATGGTTCACCAGCTATTTTTTGTTTTAATCATTTTATTTATTTGGAAAACTAATGAATTACCAAGACAGAACCATTTTACTTCGGGAAGAAAACGAAATAGATCTTACGGTGTACAAAATAGCACCTACAATAAAATTTCACAAATTCTGCAACCACCTGAATCTTACAATAATGCCCATAGTATATAGGTATCTATATTATTATTAACACGTCTTATGTCAATAAAACACTTGAATTAAACACAGAGTTATGTATGAATAATCTCAGTAAAAGATAACCTGGTGGAGATAATTCATATAATTTTAATTAAGTAAATAATATAATTATTCGTATGTCCATAATATTCGTATACACATCTAAAAAGAAGTGGCAGTAGGAGTCCAGGTCAAGTAAGGCGAGCTACTGTTCTTCGCTTAATGGACGCTCAAGATCCCACTTACTTATCGCACTTACCTGAATTTCTGAAAAGTATATACCTGGGTAGTAACACCACCGCCATCAAATACCACTAAAGACTTGCGAATAGTGAGAGTAAGTCTGAGGCCAGCAGGGCAAGCTCAGTGTTACGAGATTAGATTGGTCGTTTTGGTGGTGCGGCTGGCGAGGGTCATCTGCTCCGCCTGCTCGATGGTGTCGGGCAGCTTCATGTGCAGCGTCTCCGGAGTTAGTAGCATTAACAGCCCCGACGTACCAGCCAGCGAGCCGAACAGAATGTACGGGAGGGACTTCATGTACGCCATCTGTTGTATTCACATCTGCATAATATGTTACAGGCCTCATCTGATTGGGCATTAAACTTTATTATCAATAACTGTATTTTAACCCCTACATGACCTCCAAATGCAAATAGCAAAAAATGGAATGGATTAAAATTATTTCATACTTTAATCTAACGTAAGTACAGAGCAGAAGAAATGGCACATGACTCATTCAAAAATTCCAGTGAGTGTGTTATATCACTACTAGTGAAGAAACGCAAGGCTAATTGGAAGCTGATCTAGCTGAGTAATTAAGTGTGAAGTTAGATAATAGACCGACCAACCAACAGAGGTGTCTGCGGCGCGCACATAGAGCCGATGCGGCCCGTCATGGAGCAGATGCCCAACATGCGGTGGCGCGCGCTCGTCGGGAACAACTCCACCGTATAGATGTAAATACCGGAGAAGATTAGGCTGATCATCATCTTTCCCACTAAAGTCAGGAGTATCGTTAGATTCGCTGAAATAACATACTCTTGTCACATTTAGGTATAATCATACAATAAGCGTATTAAATGAAATTGACACAGCGATGTTTTACTTACGATTTTTTACAATTGGTAGTACCAGCAACGACAAACCACAGACGAAAAAGCTTGTCATTATAGAACTTTTTCTTCCAAATCGGTCAAGTGTCATAAAGCAAAGAAACGAGCCAGGGATCTCGACAAATGCTGTCATCATATAGTTGACGTACTTGTTGCCCACCAGCGAGACCGAGTTGATGGATAGGCCGTAGTAGATCATGGTCACCGATATCCACCAGAATGACACCACAATGATGCGGAACATCATCGTCCTGGACTTTAGCACTTTCAGCATCAGCCGCGTCTCTTTGGGCGGTGGTGGCGGCACCGTGCTAAGTGGAAACGGGTTCCAGGGTCGACTAAATTTGCTTGGTTCACCGGTCAGAATTGCCTTTGTTTCTGGTAAAAGATGTGCGTTGTTCCACTTTGCTACTTTTAGAAGGATTCTTGCAGCTTCATCATCGTGTCCCTTGACCATCAACCACCGAAAGCTTTCTTCCACAAAGAAGATATAGAAAATGAATAGGAAAGAGGGAGTAAAAATGACGATTGTAAAGGTCCTCCAGTAAGGAATTACCCAGGCAATGATAGCGGTCAGGATCTGCCCCACCGCGTACGTGCTCTGGATTATATTTCCACCGAGTACTCGCATCTTTAGACCCACAATCTCAAGAGCTGAAATTATGAACATTACATTTATAATAGAGAACGAAAGACAAAGATAATATTAAGTAAATAATTTAATTAAAAATAGAGTACCTATGATAAACGCTGTGCTGTATGTGCCATTGCCAACTAGTGCTTCGACGAACTCCAAAAACAAGTACAATATGTAATTCCTGCAGAAGGCTCGCAAAAGACCGAAGACAGCTGGGGCCACACAGGTGCCGATTAGCGCGAAACGCCGGCCGTAACTAATACAAATTTAATTCGTCACTACTCCATCATTCTTTATTCTATATTTAGTAATATACAGGTGTCCCACGATCAAATGGCACCAGGTGATCAGCAAGGTTCCAACAAAAAAAAATTTTACAAAAACGAAGTCATTTAGTTTTTAAATTACAATAACTTATGTGTTATCCACGAAAAAAGTATACGCTGTGCCAGTCTTTTGACTCTTGCTGCCCCCGAAGGTGTAGGCAGAGGTGCACATTATGCCACTGTACAATGTAACACACACTTTTCACTATTTATCTATGCTGTCGTGAGGTTTTCCAACATGTTTAGCAATATAATGATAACATATCCCATGCAAAGTGTTACCTAGTGGATACGAGTTTATTAGGGGCGCTTTGGGTACATTAGAATAAATTTTAGTAAGCCCAAATTATTTTTTCAAAACATGATTTCGTTGAGAAATATTTTTTGTGTCGACTTTAAGAAATAATGTAGGGAGTGATGCCGACTTTGGTGAACTTTGCTACTACTAGTACAATATTTCTGTACAGTCACTTAAAGTACCTAAGGTGAAAAATTTATTGAGAATGCTTATCCGTAAAAAAAATATTTATTTATTACACGCCTAATTTTCTTTTTGAGCGACACTTATCACCTTATTAAACTTTATACTTTACATTGTAATAACATAATTCAAACTACTTACAGAGATAACAAAAAAATAAACTTTATATTGGGTAGTTACCTATGATATTACCATTCTGCAGTACTGGCTATTCAAATGTAAATATTTTTTGTTTTACTTATTTCAAAAACATAGAACTTTCTTTCCAAAAGTAGTCAAACTAAATGAAATAATTTTAATGCAAAATAAATAAATACATTAATAGTCATTTGTTTATTGATTATAATTACATTTTCATCGCATTTGTATCTTTGTCATCATGGATACGTTAAAAATTCGAGTAATTATGGAATATAATACCATCGTGGCGGCAACACGGCACAAGCCGCACGCATCATCAACGACGTTTACGGAGCTAATACAAAACCAAGGCACCACCTGTTATTGGTTTGCTCACTTCCGTTCTGGAAATTTCGACCTGAATAATGAAACTCACGGTCGTTCAAAGACTGGTCGAATTAGGCGATTGTGGAAGCTGATGATACACAATCTACGACTTTTAGCAGCAACGTTAATTAGCAGCAACTTTCGACGTTAGCGTCAAAGCAATATTGGCCCATTTGCGTCAAATTGGCAAGGTAAAAAAGCTTGACAAATGGGTGCCCCACGAAGTCAATGATCGCCAGCGCGAAGTACGCATCGAGACGTGCCTTGCACTGCTCAACAGACACACAAATGAAGGAATTTTAGAACCGCATTGTAACCTGCGATGAAAAATGGATTCTGTTTGATAACCACAAGTGTTCAGCAAGATGTTTGGATCTTGGTTCAGCACCTAAATAATGCCGTAAATGAAAACTTACGCCTAGAAAAATGATGGTCACTGTTTGGTAGTCTAGCGTCGGTGAGATTCATCACAGCTTCTTACCAAATGGGGTGAGCATAACGGCAGATGTGTACTGTGGAGAACTGAACACAATGTTGAAGGAGCTGGCACTTCTCCAAGCAGCATTGGTCAATCGACAGCAACGACCTCATACTGCACAGCAGGCGGTCTCCAAGTTGCCGATACCCGAGAGGCAGTACAAAATGCCTTTGAAAAATTTGTAGCCTCCCGTCCAGCTGATTTAATTAGAAAGGGCAATAGACTGCGTTGGCAAAAATGCATTGATTGCATGGGTGATTACTTCAAACATGGAATAATAATATTAATAGGTAATAAATACAGTGACTTCACATAATACAAATAAAGATAAGTCCATGAAAAAAAAAATCGTTTATTTTTTTTCGTAGAATACGGCAATTCCATACGTAAACCTATTTATTATAAAAAATAAATAAAATAATATAGACGAAAAAAAATTGTAACAGTAAAAGAGTCAAAAGACTGGTACATGGTGTACTTATTCGTGGATAACACAACAAACCATTGTAATTTAAAAACTATATGCCTAGAATATTTTTTAAAATTTTTTGTTTTTTGTTGGGACCTTGCCGTTGATGATCCTTGCCTTGTCGTATGATCGTCGGCTTTAGGAGCATTCTGTATGTATAAGTAAGTCAAGCTGAAGAGTTTGTTGAGTCGAGTTTCTTTGTTTGAACGGAATCTCCGGAATTACTGATCCAAATTGAATAATTATTTTTTGTGTTGAGTATTGGATAGTTCGTTTATAGACGTACGGTCAGTAGAAGCCGAACAGGGCCGGTGAAACTACACAAGCGTAACTAATTATAGTACATAGGTACCTACATAAAAATCGTCATTTTCTCTCCATGATGACATACAAACTAAAAAAATTACATAGTCTACATTTATTAAATCGTCAGATAATCGCAGACCAGACGATAGACTTTTGTCTATTGAGAACAAAATGTAGGATTATTCACTTACGTATCAGAGACCGCAGCAGTGAGCGGTATGGCCAAGAACACGCCGAAGTTGTGGATCGTGCCCACTAAGGTGCGTTTCCACTCCTGACACGCCAAATCAAACTGGAATAGTTTATCAATTCTTTGGTATGTTACTTCCTTGTCTTTTAAACTAGGTACTAATGGCCATCACCGACCACCCCTAATCCATCTCATAACTAAACGTTATTTAGCGTCACGTAGGATCTAAACTAACTCTTAACTTGTACCTACTGTTAGGTGACACTTATAGATTGGTGAAGACTAATAATGACTAGGATGCAGATCGCTTCCAACCCGCCTATCTGGAACTCATTGAGGGTCTTATGTCCAGCAGTGGACGCCATGTGGCTGACGATGATGATGATGATGATAAACAAACTATAGTTTAACCTCAGCAACTATAGTAGTTCCTCCTTCGTAGACCCAGGAGTAGCAGCGCCGGGTTGTGTTGGAGAAGCTCTCAGGCGCGCAACTCTTGCCGATGGGAATTTTCCGGTAGCAGTTGAAACCTTTTGATGGCAACGCGAATTTTCCCCATGGCTCCGTTCGACTGTACACTGGCGGGGACTGTTCGCACTCGGGAACTTTACATCTAAACAACAGTAGGTACGAAGTAAGCTTCCTATATTTTCTTATCTGAAGACTGCACACTGTCTGACAAACTGTGCGGGGGTAGAGTATCAAACTATATCTATTTTTATAATATTTCCCTATTGAGCACAAACGAAGTCCACTCACAGTCACGAACGAAACTGACCTGTAATTGTCGCCAGCAGCATTAAATACATATTGGCAGTTGTAGATACTGGTGAATATGATAGCCAAGCCGAGGTATGCGAACACCCACCGCTGGTAGCGGCCGAACTGGCCCAACTGCACTATCAAAGCGTCGATGTCAAGTTCCTTACTCAACGCGGTCCTGGTCTGCGTGCTCTGGGTGTTACTGGACATCACTGTCTACTGACTCACTCTACTATGTCACAACCCAACTGAACATTATAGTGGGTTATTACAGGGTCGCCAGTGCTGTTGATCATACAGAAAATGATATAATGTACTTGCTGATCAAAGATAATTTTGATAACAATTTGAAGTTTGTAGTTCTGTCAACATTGACCGCTGAAATCTGACGCAAGAACACAATACATAGAGCAGACTTATTGCTTTATTTGCTACAAATAAGGTTAGCATAAAACTCTAGCCGTTGTCGAACAAGAACAATAATTTTCATGTTTTAATTCGTCTGTCGCGAATTACTTTATGACAATGATCTGTTCGTGCCATTCATGCACATGCATCGACATTTGCAAGACGTCGATGGATGTAGTGATGTGGTATGTGGTCATTGAAAATTGCAACGTCCTTGTTATATTCATTTACAGATTGACATTGATATAATCAGCTTAACTTATCTCTATCTTCAAATAATCATGTCAGATACGATTCAACACTCCACGTCTACAATACAACAGGTAGGTATAAGATAAATAGATGTCACAAATTACATAAAGATTTTTTTAAGTGACAAGTAAATGATAACATCCACCCCACTGGCTATGTTATATCCACGTTTTATTCTTCACTTCGACTACATCCGAGTTCCAATGGAGACGTCGCATCCAATTTAAATCACCAACCGCTTGGCATCAACATTACATTTACCTAGATAATATTACGCTTTTTATTATATTTTTTATTTTTTATTTATTTTTTAAAAAACGTTGCCCCACACTAGGATTTTCTCCTGTGCCGTGGGTGCGTTTACAAACATACAATTTCACATACACAATGACACCCAGACACGAAACAACAATTTGTGGATCACACAAAGTGTTGTCCCGTGCGGGAATCGAACCCGCGACACGTTGCACGGCAGCCGGTTTCCCAGCCACCGCACCAACCGTGCATATTAAGTTTTCAGTTCAGATTAATAAGAATTTGAAATTGGTATATTCTGTATTCTTACTAGACCTGTTTAAGCGCTCTTACACACAAACGACATGTTGCCAACGGCCGGGGCAACTGCTGCCGTCACGACGATAGCGTCGTTCGCTATTAGAGCTCTTATAGAAGAGTTATAAATCGAATATCTGTCTATTGGATGTTTTATACCTATATTAGTAAATGAGTTTTCCTGTGCAAATCATACACATCGACAGAGCTACGTAATTATCAAGACGCGCGTGTATCATTTCTTCAAATGGACACTGCACGCGTGCACGTGGCTTAAATTAAAATGAAACACATAATTATGTAACATAATAATTATTATTTTTTAATATCCTTAAACGTTTTATATACAGTCAACATCGAATGCCAAGAACAACATCTACAACGTAGTAAAGTACACAAGAGCACAACAGGTTTATAAACGTATTTATATATAGTAATATGTATAGATAAAATTATATACATCTACAGTAATATCTTCACAATCGGTATACCTGCAAGACTATGCGTTACACCGGGCGCCGCCCTGCTCGCGAGACTTCAATTCGTTTATGAGTGCTGCTATATTATTACTGTATTATGTCCACGTGAGGTACTGCTACAACACTGCTAGGTGCACTATGTCCGGCTACATGTCTATATACCGCGAGCCACGAGTGCAGGGCGTCGGCCTTGAACAATTAACAAGTGATCGATACATTCACGATAGAAACATCTGAAATTCAATACAATAATATAATTTGACCGACAATAAATATTACATTGGTCTTTAGATTACAGGATTATTATACAATATTCATATATGATTACAGCTACGTCCAGTGCGTGCGACGGAGAGATAGTGGTATCTCTGTCGCACGTCACCTGAACAATAAAAGCTATCGAACACTTAACATTTCAAAATGTTTTGTCTCTTTCCTTTCTATAACGATTGTTGAACACTAGGAAGGGATAGAATACGACACTGACACACAGCTATCACTTTACAAAGATGGCGCGATTTGGAAGCGTTCGCGACCGAGCCGGGAGCTCGGGGCCCTTATATTTAAAAGTTTAAATATCTACGAACGAGCAAAAGATATGAAAATCGTTTATAATTAATAATTATGTTTGTATGTAACAGGTGCCGAGTAACTGTGTTGTGGAGGTACAAGTAATTACCTTACTATAACAGTTCCAACAAATTGTGTTAAATAACATTGCAAGTGGTACTATCGGCTACACGAGTGTTAAGGAAACGGTTTAAAATATAATTAATGCACCAACATGTGTTTTTATACAATAAATGTGACTGTCCAGAAATATTTTAAAATGGAGTTGTAGTTGATTGATAAAATTGTATAACACTTGTGGAGTTGACTGTACGGAGTGAACACAACCAAAGTGATACGAGCACCTTCATGTATTATTACATATATATCGGAAAAATAGAATATAAGGCAACATAGAGAAGATAAACTCGGGGCAAATACATGTAGTAACAGGCAAGTTAAAGTAATAAGAACATATTAAACGTGAGAGGTAATAATATTACCTGTATTTATGTACAGATGCCAGAACAAGACATCCAGAATAAAATTTCTTAATTTGATTTTCAACCTTACTACAAACACATAAGGCCGAAAATTTAATCACACTGATCAGGGAACCTTGATGTGCTGGCACCTGGACTATGACTATAATAATAACAAGATAGAAAAATAAATACTGTAATAACTAGAGAAACGAGAACCTACGTTCATATTGAAGTGACACGACATTTGTTCAGTAACATATATTTATACGGATACTATAAAAATATATGATTAAACGTTAGAGTAGTAATAAGACAAACATTGGCACATCCAATGCTCTACCTCGAGTACACCGTACAATTACAATTATATCTTTATCTATTTAATACACTATTGATACGACGCAACACAAATTATTGCCTGTTTGAATCACAAGTACAAGACGACCACAGATAAAATAAGTAATAAATAATTGTTTAATGCTGATAGTATACAAATCTCTATGGTCTGATGCAACCTAATGCAGAATTTCAATTTTATACTTCCATGGTAGATATGAAAGATATACTATAACTTGAGTAATTGTTTTTATGATGGAATCAGCTATCGAATTCAAATTTAAATAAATTTTAGAAATCTACTTAAAGAATAGTGAAGTCGTCTTTACACCTAAATATTTAAAAATAAAGTCGTGTGGTCTATGAACTATTAATATCATTATAACTATTATTAATCGGTGCGAAAAAAAATTCTCGATCACGAATCATGTAATATAACTGCAAAATATACTAATATTTCTAGCAAGAAGCTCCGATGTAGCTATTTAACCTTTTTTTTCAAATTGTTAGCTAAAATAACACTCATAATAATCATCCGTCCTCTACTACAGGTACATAGTCAGTTAATATGTCGATAATACACACAGACTTATTAAACACTCACAATTTATCGAAATAGTCCATATTGTCTTTGTAAATTCAATTTAGTATACTAAAATGCTCTAGCAGATCGGTTACGTGAGTGTGCACGCGTGGCAGTGAGCACCGCCGGACTGGACGTACACTACACAGAGGTACACACTGGTACAAATCAAACTATACTAAACCAGTGTATCATTGTATCGCTTTGTGTCATCTTTCCGCGTATTCGAAGGTCAATGTATACTGGTTTTACATCGTCGTGCCGTGTGTACGAACACGTGCACGTATACGCCCCCGGTCTACTCTAGCCTTAATAAGAACCCAATAAAGTATGATTCGCACCGATCACTAAGTAACTAACTACACCCATCCCTTGGAAGATCACCGCGCCCTCTACCGTCAGACCGTCACCATTCTCTCACCACAAACACCAGACAGCTACATTTATGTATAACCCGCGCCACTTAACTAAACTATAGAACCTTTTAACAAACAGTGTAAATGACCCATACCTATAAAAAACCTATTAAAATTAAGAAGTGCTAAATTATTTGCAATCTATATCTTTGCATTATAAGTTCTGCAATGTTTTACGTCTTTATCTAATATCGATAGTTATGCATCATTTACACTCCAGAGCCGCAACAAAGCAACAATACGCGCAACACGTATCGTAGACTAGCAACAATGAAATAAATTTAACTGCGAACTAACGTAACATATTATAACGTATCATATTCGTACTGATATGCGCAACCCCAGCTTATATAGTATATACTCAATATACTCAAATATGGCGATGAACGACCTAGCTAATGAGGCAATGGAAGGTGAGGCGAACGTCTGCGGACACCAGCAACTTGTAGCGCAACATGTTGCTAAACACACGTCACGCGTCGTCTACCGATCACGCAGCTATCAACGAGGATATTAAAATTACATAAATATTTCCATAATTGGTCTTAATTTACAATAAATAATTGAATTTACTAAATCACAATTACATGACAGCGACATAATATAACGTTTCCAAATATTAACAATAGTTTAGCTACAATAAATTACACGATATTGTGATAAAGTATGATACACCTAGGAACGAACTAAACTGATATCTCCGCAAAACTATATACAAACATACACGCAAGTCACAATCAAAATGTTTGAAACCACTGGACGGGACTCGACACCACTTAGAGGATTTAAACATCACTCAACATTGACTCACTTGTCTTTAAGATACATGAGTTTAAATATCAGTATTTGTCGCAGCGGAATTAGTATTAATGGAGGCAAGAACATTTTGTATAAGAAATGATGTTTATATGCTCTAAGCAAGAATGCGTCGTCAATACAAAGTAGCACGAATACACGAACGATAAACGTATTTATAATTAATATCCAATAACACAGAGAGACCGACAGACCGACACTAACTAGTGTACAACGAGCTATTGTCTTATGTTATTACTCCTTCGCTGTATAATCACTTTGTTCGGAAAAATAAATACAACCATTTAATATAAGTTTGAAACATGGAGTACAGATATTTACAATAGTTACCTCTGATTAGTTTACGAACAACTTGTCTACATAATTTTGATATTTTTTCTCTTTATTAATATAATATTTTATATGATATCTTGTCACAGTAATCAGGAACTTATGGCGAAATTGGTAGTTCTATGTACAATCACTGATTGCAAAGGAAACGTCGGTGAAGTTATAATGAATGATTTACTTTTGATCTTGTGATTATTTCAATTTCAAATGACCTGGTTTACGGCCGTACTCCGAGTGATTTCAATGGTTACTCAACCCAGTCCTTACTAATAGTTTTCGGAACAAAATCGTTGCTAAGGAACATTTTAAGTAATGTTATTAATTAATGTCTCAGAGTACGACAGTTATAGTAATTTAGTACTATGAATGAATAGAGCTGTATAACGCAGGTCTATAAAATTATGTGAAAGCGTCCCCTCGCCAGTTTTCGTTATCTACATTGAAGGAAAGAAACTGATTGGTTTAGTGTACGCTGTGACTAGTACATGTGTCTTTACTTTTGGCATTTAATACCAACTTATTACTTTATTTTGTATATCATTAACATTAATGTGATTGCTATAGAAATTTATCACAATGTAGTACTTTCTGTTAGAGCTAGTTATAAGATCCAACAGACTCGAATATCAAATATTGACTGACTTGGCATTAACAGGTAGTATATGACCCTTTATGTCACTTAAACACCTTTAGTGACTCAAAAATATCTGTAATAAGGTAACTGTGTAATATACAAAGTAAAATAATCATTATTGTATTGCAATAAGTCACAGTGTACAACAAACCGGGTGCCTACATCAATTCCGAGGCGAGTATCTAAGTACAGTAGTCAGTCGTAACGTACGTAAGGATAGCCACTATAGCAGACAGAGCTACATCGGCAAAATGCTTTCTAAAACGTTTGCAAAGAGCTCGCTACAATATGTCTAAAGTTACACCGTAGTTATTGTATTACAGCTACATTGTCCAAGTTTGATGAAATGACTTTTACCTCCATATAAATAAGAGCAATAATTGTTTATCGATGTCATACAATTTTAATGATTTTAACAACTAGTTTATAGTTGTAGCGCAATACTTGCGCTAACGTTTGAGTACTTGCGCAAAGTTGCGCAAATGGTTTGCTGTCTTTTAACAACCGCTAGAGTATTCACGCATGCTGTACTTACGTTTCGTGTAAACATCGATTATATTTAGTTAACATTTCGATTGATATCGCTTCGTTGTCGCAACACAAAAGGTTTTATATCCTATTTTAACACAGAAGTTAGGATTTATCTTTACATAGACATCTATAAGTACTTAACGGCAGTTTTATGACTTGAATAATTTGCTATAATTGATCTAGATTTTATATAATCTTCAATGAGTCCTTTATTTCAATACTTAGTGTTAAATAGTTTTGAGAGTCGAAATGATTTGAATGAACTTTAACTTTTTAATAGAAAAATAAATGTTTGAATATTTGAAGTGTTAAAGAGTTAAATGTTATTGTTTTGTAGGAAGGGATCTAGATAATATCGTGTTTGGAAGCTCAATTTAATGTTGAGTGCAGGTTGATTCGACATTTTGACAAGTAGTGAAGTATTTAATGGTTATTTTATAGGACACGAAATGTAGTATTAGGTTTTTTTATGTTCTATATTAGGTAAGACAGTTACTTCTTCGCAATTATTTGTAAAACCATCTATTGTAGCATACACTTCGTGATCTTCAGCACATTCTGCATTGGGGGGATAGGAGCGTCATTAGAAGTGTCTATTGGACTGAGATAGGGATGTATGGAGGTGGGGGGGAAGGGCATCAGAGCGGGAGTGGCAGCACGGGGTCGTTGGGCTGCAGCGCCAGCGCGGCGGCGGCGGCGTCGGCGGCGGCCAGCGGCTCCCCGGCCGCCGCCAGCACCAGCGCCAGCCGCCGCCACGTGTCGGCGCGCGCCGGCTCCAGCGCCGCCGCGCCGCGCAGGCACTTCTCCGCCAGCCCCAGCCAGCCCAGCGAGTAGTACGCCGCGCCTACAGACAACCATATACTCACACCGCTCTCTACACTTGCTGTGTCATCTCTAAAATTGTTTCATTCGTTTCCTAGTCAACCTTACGGCACGTTTTACAATAGCCAGTGTATCAGACACTAGTTCAATCGAAACGTTTATAGTACATCCACGTCCAGGCAATACACCGCACGCAATTCGTAAATTGCACGCGAGCCTTTTTCATTTTCAAACACTCCCGTACGTCGTTCACTTCATTTCAGAAAGCGATTTCGAAAGCGGCGCATTCGCAAGATGTGAATCTTTTTTTTTTAAAAACATTGCCCCACACTAAGATTTTCTCCTGTGTCGTGGGTGCGTTTACAAACATACAAGTACACATACACAATGACACCCAGACCCGAAACAACAATTTGTGGATCACACAAAGTATTGTTCCGTGCGGGAATCGAACCCGTGACACGTTGCACGGCAGCCGGTTGCCCAGCCACCGCACCAACCGTGCAATCTATACACCAATACATTCTGTAGTACAGCTGCACTCACCTAGTTGCACCATACTGTCTAGATGTGTGGGATGTATCGCGAGTGCGTTCTGGAAACATTGTCGCGCCTCGTCCCACTCTTCACTCGCCGCGTGCACTAGCCCACGCTGTAATCATACACAGTTTGTTTTAATACAAACTCAATCAAACAATCCTAATTTGTATCGCTCGAACCAGTATTTATGCGCATAATTCCCGAACGATTGCACCAAATCGAATAATATTGTGTCATAATTAAGTAAACAATCACAAAAGTCACTGGTATAGAGACACAAATCTTCGTATCAATATGAAATGATCCGTCAGTAAAATAAAATAATAGTAAATGTTGTAGAAAACTTACAGTATACAATACAAGATGGCTGAAGGGCGTAAGTGTCGCGGCTTCAGAGACACAGCCCGCCGCCGCACTGACGCGACCTAGCCTGCAGGGGACACATTGCTTGAGCATTGCAGTACTAGATTCAGGATCTTATTAATCATACTAGCGGTTTGGAAGCGGTTGCGGGGAGCAAGCTGCGAACACGCCGTGATGACGTCGCTTGTACGCTGTGACTTGACAGCGAGGACGTCGCGGCCGTGCAGCGAGAACGTCGCAGATGAAAGGCGTGTACGTTAAGCGTTTGTAAAGTTTTTGTTGCGTGTTCCCTCCCACGGAAGATACTCGCAATCCGCCAGTGTAATAAGAACCCAGTTAGTCTTATTGATTTGATTAATTTTAGTATTAAAAAATAAAAAAGTATTGAATTTGATTAGTTGGCAAATATCCAATTTTAATTTTATATGATTATGTAAAGCTAAAGAGTTTGTTCATACATAGAGTTTATTCATACATAATATACGCTTTTTATTGCCAAAGGGATAGACAGAGGTGGATATTATGCCACTGTACAATGTAACACCCATTTTTCACTATTTATGTTATGAGTCGTATGTAATAGGGGATAAGCTTATTGTCATATACTGAGAATTTCTTTAAAAACCCATTAATACTTTGTCCGATCCAGGATTCGAACCCGAGACCCCTTGCCCCGGCAGTCGCACTTGCGACCACTCGGCTAACGAGGCACTTAGTTTGTTTATTTGTTGTTTAAACGCGCTAATCTCAACAGGACCTGTGGTCCCATTAGAAAAGAATTAGAAAAATATTTTTGTGTTGAATAGTCCATTTGTTGAAGAAGGGGTGCCCCCCCCCTTGCGGAGATAGCTGCAGTAGTAGCGCGGCGGCAGTGACCTGAGACAGAGCTGCGCGAGCAGCAGCCAGGCGGTGGCGCGGCGCGCGGCGTGCGGCGCCGGCCGCGCGCGCCCCGACACCGACGACGCGCCCTCCGACAGCGCGCGCTCCAGCCGGTACACGCCCGCAGACTCCGCGCGCACTGACGCTGCAACGCACACGTTGTTACATTAATGGAGACATGAAACAGACATGAGAGCCATGCTCATCAGCCATGCATGGGCCGGCTCGATTGACCTCGACCCAATTACCCCCCCCCCCCACAAGTTTCCCCAATCCCCCACAATCCCAATTCCCTAAAAGGCCTCTGGTGTTTCAGATGTCCATGGGCGGCGCCATTTGCTTGCCAACAAGTGATCCAACTGCTTATTTACCGGCTTATAAAAAAGCATTAAGAGAGAATTGCTTAAAATTACTTCTCGAATGAAAAACAACGGGATACGCGAACGCAAAAAGAAGCTAATAAATGCCATATTTAATTTAATTAACACACGTACCAGCGTCTCGATTGCTCTGCGTGTCGTCGTGCTGTGAGTCCGACATGGCGTCCAGCTCCACGTACCCGTTGTGTTCCGGCTCCAGCTCCGCCTCCGCACTGTTCACTAGTGTTAACAGTTCCTTGCCCGTCGCTAGCGCTTCCTGGAATAATATGCGTTGTTTTGTCATGTCAATAAGGTGGAGGCCTGCTGGCTGGAGACACAATCCTCCTCTAATCCCCTCACACCTATTCTCCAAAATGCTGGTAACACACTTGTTACTCGGTTTTAACCAAATGAAACGACTGATCCGATCTAAGAAGCTGTATTTAGTGAGGGCTACTGTAACAAGGAAGCAGTAATAGACAGTTGGTAGTGTTATGCCTCTGTACCTCTGGCGTCTCCCATATGAGCTGCAGCTGCGCCAGCGCGGCGCGCGGCCAGGTGGCGGCGGGGTAGTGGTCGCGGGCGAGGCGCGCCGCCTGCAGCGCGCGCTGGCCGCGCGGCCCGGCGCATGCGCACGACCACAGCGCCGCCGCCAGCCGCAGCCCGCCGCCGCACTCCGCGCGCGCCGCCAGGCACGACCGGGTCGCGTCCTGCGCAATGCAACTTTATAACTTATACAGCGCTACACGGACCATGCAACGCCGCAACACAATGTTGCTTATTACCTCCACAATACCCCACCATCACCCCTTCCCCCTTGTCTTGCGGGACACATGACTGACGCACTTACTGCGACATGTGTCAGAATGCCTAACGCATCGTGGTGTGATATGCCATGATAATTTTATTCGGATGACAAAGCAACACCGATCCGGCGTCACACAGCACCGTAACTGTATTGTGTGGCTCGCGATAAAAGACCCGATCACCCGATACGAATCACTAAATTGGGTCTACGAACACCTCCAAAGCAAAACTGAGAAAACCGACAACGACACTTTATTTCTTGTGGTGTAGCCTATCTGCATGTCAGACTGCGAATGTCAGTGAGAAACGGAACATTACAGTACTTTTTGATTTGCTTTGTCCAGCCCAGACAAGGCTACTGATAATATTTAAACACCTCTGTTTGTTCAACAGTGTATAACTCCCAGGTGATGATGAAGGACTAGTTCTTTAGGTACGTACCATGGCCTCGTTGAGCATGCCGAGGTGCATGTACTGTAGCGCGAGGTAGTAGAAGGCGAGGTGGTCGTTGTTGTCCAACTGAGCCGCTCGAACTAATAACTTCAGCGACGCTTCATTCGCCGACTCCTTGTCGATGCGAGCGTTTGTTTTCTGTAACGTCATTATTTTGTATCTTTATATTCTTTGATACTACATTCAACTGTGTTTTTTACGATTTACTAATCTATACCATTTTCAAGGATGCTCAACAAGTTTCAAGCCACACCGGGGGCCTCAATATCAAACCATCCGAAATTAGTTGGGAATAAAAAAGTTGGGAACACGTAAATAATATTGCAAAGGCATTTAATATTAAATATAAAAGGATTAGAATAAGTGTAAATGTAAATGTGAGTGTAAAAAGTGAATAGTGCGTGGTACTGACAGACCTGTGCCTTCATCTGGTGTCCGATGCCGGCGTAGAGACAGCAGCGCGCCAGCATGGACCCCTGCCGCTCCTCCTCTATGGACAGCGCCTCCTCCGCCATCTCGATGCCTTCCTCTATCTATATGGTACAATTGTATTTATTTATTACTAATTGCAAAGGTTCTCAATATAACATTATACTTTATGATGTTGATGATGATGATTGCGTTTGATGTTTGACAAAACAATTGAATTAATTAAAAGTGCTGTACATACACCCGTTGGTACGTACGCGTACCATGTGCGTGCTACGTACTTGTGTACGTCTTGCACCAATTGTCAGTTTCGAATTTGAAATGGATACGATATTTTTCCAGCAGATGTACTCTGTAATAGGATAATGGGTATACGCACCCATCCCATCCGGTAGCAGGTGTTGGCCGCGACGAGCCGTAGCGCGGCGTCGTGCGGCAGTAGCGCGGCGGCGCGCCGAGCTACTCCCGCCGCACGCACGCCGCTACTCCATACTGCACTACCTGCATATACAATGGTATACATACAACTTGTGCACGACGGTAATGCGCCACGAGTCGCCCGCGGCGTGTCTTAAACTTGTCTGTTCCTTGTATAAAACGCAATTTCAGACACGAAAATCAAATGTGCGCGGCGTCGATCCTGTGTTCCGCGCCACTGCTGTTTGATTTGAATGTTTTTTGGATTTGAACGAACATGATTTCATCGTCTCAGAGTGACCGAGCCGCGAACCTAGCGACAGGAATTATCCTGTACGCGCGTCTCACATGTAATGACATTACATGTGAGACTAAACGATAGACAGTGTATCGATGAAACGATAGACAGTGTGTCGATGAAACGATAGACAGTGTGTCCATGAAACGATAGACAGTGTGTCCATGAAACGATAGACAGTGTGTCCATGAAACGATAGACAGTGTGTCGATGAAACGATAGACAGTGTGTCCATGAAACGATAGACAGTGTATCCATGAAACGATAGACAGTGTGTCCATGAAACGATAGACAGTGTGTCCATGAAACGATAGACAGTGTGTCCATGAAACGTAGACAGTGTGTCCATGAAACGATAGACAGTGTGTCGATGAAACGATAGACAGTGTGTCGATGAAACGATAGACAGTGTGTCCATGAAACGATAGACAGTGTGTCCATGAAACGATAGACAGTGTGTCCATGAAACGATACACAGTGTGTCGATGAAACGATAGACAGTGTGTCGATGAAACGATAGACAGTGTGTCCATGAAACGATAGACAGTGTGTCGATGAAACGATAGACAGTGTGTCCATGAAACGATAGACAGTGTGTCCATGAAACGATAGACAGTGTGTCGATGAAACGATAGACAGTGTGTCCATGAAACGATAGACAGTGTGTCCATGAAACGATAGACAGTGTGTCGATGAAACGATAGACAGTGTGTCGATGAAACGATAGACAGTGTGTCCATGAAACGATAGACAGTGTGTCCATGAAACGATACACAGTGTGTCGATGAAACGATAGACAGTGTGTCGATGAAACGATAGACAGTGTGTCGATGAAACGATAGACAGTGTGTCCATGAAACGATAGACAGTGTGTCCATGAAACGATAGACAGTGTGTCGATGAAACGATAGACAGTGTATCGATGAAACGTAGACAGTGTGTCCATGAAACGATAGACAGTGTGTCGATGAAACGATAGACAGTGTGTCGATGAAACGATAGACAGTGTGTCGATGAAACGATAGACAGTGTGTCCATGAAACGATACACAGTGTGTCGATGAAACGATAGACAGTGTGTCGATGAAACGATAGACAGTGTGTCCATGAAACGATAGACAGTGTGTCGATGAAACGATAGACAGTGTGTCCATGAAACGATAGACAGTGTGTCCATGAAACGATAGACAGTGTGTCGATGAAACGATAGACAGTGTGTCGATGAAACGATAGACAGTGTGTCGATGAAACGATAGACAGTGTGTCGATGAAACGATAGACAGTGTGTCGATGAAACGATAGACAGTGTGTCCATGAAACGATACACAGTGTGTCGATGAAACGATAGACAGTGTGTCGATGAAACGATAGACAGTGTGTCCATGAAACGATAGACAGTGTGTCGATGAAACGATAGACAGTGTGTCGATGAAACGATAGACAGTGTGTCGATGAAACGATAGACAGTGTGTCCATGAAACGATAGACAGTGTGTCCATGAAACGATAGACAGTGTGTCCATGAAACGATAGACAGTGTGTCCATGAAACGATAGACAGTGTGTCCATGAAACGATACACAGTGTGTCGATGAAACGATAGACAGTGTGTCGATGAAACGATAGACAGTGTGTCGATGAAACGATAGACAGTGTGTCGATGAAACGATAGACAGTGTGTCCATGAAACGATAGACAGTGTGTCCATGAAACGATACACAGTGTGTCGATGAAACGATAGACAGTGTGTCGATGAAACGATAGACAGTGTGTCCATGAAACGATAGACAGTGTGTCGATGAAACGATAGACAGTGTGTCCATGAAACGATAGACAGTGTGTCCATGAAACGATAGACAGTGTGTCCATGAAACGATAGACAGTGTGTCCATGAAACGTAGACAGTGTGTCCATGAAACGATAGACAGTGTGTCGATGAAACGATAGACAGTGTGTCGATGAAACGATAGACAGTGTGTCGATGAAACGATAGACAGTGTGTCCATGAAACGATAGACAGTGTGTCCATGAAACGATACACAGTGTGTCGATGAAACGATAGACAGTGTGTCGATGAAACGATAGACAGTGTGTCCATGAAACGATAGACAGTGTGTCGATGAAACGATAGACAGTGTGTCGATGAAACGATAGACAGTGTGTCGATGAAACGATAGACAGTGTGTCCATGAAACGATAGACAGTGTGTCCATGAAACGATAGACAGTGTGTCCATGAAACGATAGACAGTGTGTCCATGAAACGATACACAGTGTGTCGATGAAACGTAGACAGTGTGTCCATGAAACGATACACAGTGTGTCGATGAAACGATAGACAGTGTGTCGATGAAACGATAGACAGTGTGTCCATGAAACGATAGACAGTGTGTCGATGAAACGATAGACAGTGTGTCGATGAAACGTAGACAGTGTGTCCATGAAACCACCAGCATAAGGTTGAAAATGTTGTTATTATCCTATAACCCAGAGAGACAAAACACACTTGATAGGGTCAGACCATGTATATAATCTGTTATTGAGATGTTATTAGTTTGCTCAATAAAAAAAATGTCACCAACATTCTCAGTAATGCATCGATAGATGTTCAAGACTAATATGCAAGGCTCAAATACCATACTTGGGGAATACTCCTTAAAAAAATTGGGCTGCCTGACATCGCTAAAACATTTGCTAAATATGTAAGCGCCAGTGGCCTTACCGTGCGGTATATGGTCGGGCTGTCCGGCGGGCGCGGGGCGGGCGTGGCCGGGCCCGGCGTGGCTGGGCCCGGCGGCGGCCGTGGCCAGCGCCCTCTGGCGCCAGACGTGTGCGCAGCCGAAGGAGAACTTCATGGCTCGCTCCAGAGACTCCAGCAGCAGACACAGCTGCCCCCAGCGCGTGGCCGCCAGCGCCAGCAGGTCCATGACGGCCACAGCGTTCCGCAGTGCGTGAGCCCGCGCCGCCTCGAACTCCTGCGACTGCGACAGTACGGCGTCCCGCACTGCCATCGCCTCGCCCACCAGTAGCAGCAGCACTACTTCCTCGTACTCACAGCGGGGGACGAACTGGGAAAATGTACGTTATGATTCAAGATATTTCGTAATGTAAGTCATTCTAGGTAAAACTGTGTCAAAAACTCCTTAATATTCAACATGAAACTGATATACACCGATAAAATCACCAATAAAGATGGTGAAAGTGATATTTAAATCAAATACATGTATTTAAATTACTATGACAAGATCAAACACAGATTAAAAATAATGAAATATTTGATCGAGGTAGGTAGGTATACAACGATGATTGAAATTTAAAAAATAAAATTATAAATAATTAAACCTGATTGATGGCAGAATATTTCTTAGGTTTCCATGGTCCGTCTGACACGTGGTCATCCCGCCGCCTCGTCAGCGTGCCCTGTGGAGCCACGGCCGCTAACTTCTCGGGGGCTTTGTACACCTGCACGGAGCGGACAGTAATATCTGTCTTAAGCTGTCTAACATTACCTAGGCAACTTTAAAGGGTAAGCATAATTATTATTGCATTTTTGTATTGAAAAATGTTGTACCTGTCCAGTGACGCCCCTCATGAGCACCTCAGCGAGTTGTCTGGTCAGCGTCAGCCGTAGCGCCTGCGTCGATATCGACTCCACCGCGTTCAGCATTTCTCGATACCTGCAACAAATGTTGACAAACATGTTATTTCCAAATATCATGTTTGAATTACAAACCATTTGTTTGTTATAAGTATTTGAAAAGTAATTGTCGCGAAACGTACCTAGGTAGTTTTGTCCTTAGTTAAAGTCTAGAGGACATTCTTAAGGTAACCTACGACATTGGGCCATTGATTAGCCACAAAAAGGAGCTACGTAGATATAGACCGTTAAAACTTATAACAACCAATAAAACTATTAAACTAAGAGCCCTAGTGGATTCTTATAACGTTACTCTCTATTTAAACTAGATGCTAATTAAGACAGATCCCATTTCAAGTACCTAAATGAAGCATACTCGCTACACAGCTAATGTTACATGACATTTGGCCGACATATCGCGACACACTCAGCATAGCAACAGAAGTAACCAGGCTAATAGGATTTGCCACAAATCTGAGTGCGTAAGCCGGTTAGCGGCTAGTAGCAATAACCTACATTACGTTTAAACATGATAATCGACCCTACTGCCACGTAATAAGGGCTGGTTTTAGAACTTCCAATAATCTTATGTCTCACGGGTCATCAATTAATGTTACGGTTACGGTAACATTTGTTTTGTATACAATGTAGATATTCAAGTTATACGAATGGTACGTATACTTTTTGGCTAATTGGGCTGAAGATGACCAATAAAAAATAATTATAGATGACAAATACAGGATAAATGTGGGCAGTGAAATATTGTTCAAGAGGAAAAGTAGAAAAATATTATTTAAAAAAAATATATGTTGAGTGCTTTTATTTATTTATTTTTTTGAAAGGGGGAAAGTTATGGAATATCTTCTCTGGCCCTGGTTATGCGGGAGGGAGTGTCAGACTCTTACTCACTAAAAACCACCCCGTTCCTATTCCTGCACTTCGAGCCGGAGCCCCAGCAACCCGTTATAGTCCTCCGCGACTCGGTATCGTCATCAGCCCCATTAGGGCCCATCCGTAATGGACTAATGGCTTTTTGAGTTGCACATGTTACTTGGTACTGTATGCTAGTGTTACCTGTCGATAGCATTCTGCAGCCTGCCGGCGCGGATGTGTAGTATGGGCACCCTCTGTAGCGCGGTCTCCAGCGTGGGCCCGGCGCGCGCCTGCGCACCAGTACGCTGCAGGTACAGCAGCGTCAGGTCCGACGACAGCTCGAAACTACGGATCTGGATGTTTCAAGACTTTTAAATAATCTGTTTTATTATTATTTCTAACAGAGGAGATACATACATTATTGGCGAAGATAAAAGCAAACAGTATTGAAATCAACTTTTTGTATACGAGCATAAGAGTAAATATAAAAGATGGTAAATAACAAACGGTAAATCTTATTACGTATATTGTATAGGGCGATAACTATGTCATTAAATTTCAATTTCATTTGCTCATAAATAGATGCTTAACGCACATGATTACTAGCATAGCGCAATTCTTTCTTAGGTCTTGGTCGTTAAAATATTATGAACTACGGATTGAAAAAAAGATTGATATACCTACATATAAATATTTATTTATAACCGCATTGAACTTGAATCCAGTCCGTAACAAGCTTAACCCCTTGACCCAGCACGATGGTTAATAATAATAATTCATTCGGAGAATTGAACATCTCCTTCGGGACGACACAAACGACAGTGCGTTCAATAAACCCATTTACATAATGGCTATTACACGAATTTACGAGTAGGTACAGTATTGTAACTCGAATCGCAAGTTTATGTGGATGCGAACAAGATGTTATAGATTCAAATGTTCAATTAAACATTAAGGGCTTTCTGATTTTTTATAATACCACTGTACATACCAAATAAGTGTGTAAGATGAAATCTGATAAGAAAAATTAGAAAAGAAAGGCATAGTACGCTGACCAAAAAAAGCTTCGGATAAGACCAAGAAGATAATATAAGATGAGATAAAACAGTAGCAGCGCGACAGTCTCCGCATCGCAGGTCGCAGAATGCTGCTCCTGAATATGAACCTCTAGCATGAGTAGTAGAATAATTACGTAAGCCGAAAAACATAATCTGTACCTATATATAAAAATGAAACCCGTTTCCCGTTGTCACGCTATAACTTTAGAACGGCTAGGCCGATTTGGCTGATCTTGTTTTTGCTGTGTTTGTTATTGTCAGGAGATGGTTTTTATGACAGAAAAAAGTCCTGAAAATCCTACGGGAATGGGAGAAACGGGATTGCGCGTACAAAGTTGCGGGCAGAAGCTAGTAATTAAGATAAAAACGCAAGAATAACCAGACCAAAACAAATACATTCACCCAATCTTTGGAGTTCAACATATTCACACACACTTCTATAACAAAAAGTATTTTAATTATGTAATCAATATTGTATTACATAATTCATTAATTACCATTTCTGACTCTCTTTCGGCCTGCTTGTACCGACTGGTGGAGCCGGGCACCGTGTTCTGCTCCAGGCACAGCCCCTTGATGGCGTACGACTCCGCCACGATGCGGAGACTTCGGCTGACAAACAACATAATTTTAATAAGTATAACGAATTCATTAACAATCTGTGAGATTCCACAATTAAGTAATGGGTCTCCTCTACATAGGGGCGTTTGGGATAATCCTCCCAATAAGCAAGCGGATTGGAGATCGCAATTTAAAACTCAGCTTTATCGCTTCTGGTCCGTTTCATATTTTAAAATAATTATAAGTTTTTAGTCTTAATCTGTAAGCAACACAAATATCCACAACATAACATAACATCACGCCATTTATCCCCGAAGGGATAGGCAGAGGTGGACATTACGGCACTTAATGCTACACCAATGTAACACCCACTGTCACTATTTATGTATGAGTCCCATGTAATACTACATGTGATACCGGGCACAATTCCAAACTCCGTGCTACCACTGTGATTTTTTTTTAACCCAGTATTTACTTTGCCTTACCCGGGGAAGGCAACGCAATACAAATATCCATGTTGCTCAAATACCTAGCACATAACATATTATAGTGAACATAAACAGTGAGTAAATAAACTCATTATCACCCAAAACGATGAGGATAACTACAGATTTAGTGAGGAAAGTGTGACACACGCTGCGCACGCGCTGATTCATAGCACACGTGTTTGTTTGTGTGGACGACAAACATGTCATGAGGGACAGAAAGGACATTGCAACTCATTGGTTAGACGCGTTGCAAAACAGATTGTCATACAAACATTTGTTAACATTAATATCGTACGTTATGTATGTAACTAAGAAAAAAGATAAGAATATGGATAAACTTCTAGACTGAACTAAATCACCGCGTCAAGTACTTAAACGTTAAAATCTATAAAAATTGTTTTCTAGTGTATGCTCTACTGCCTCGTTGGCCGAGTGGTCGCAGGTGCGATTGCCGGGCAAGGGGTATCGGGTTTGATTCCCGGGTCGGGCAAAGTACTGCTCAGTTTTAAAAAAAAATCTCAGTAGTAGCACGGATTTTGGTATTGTGCCTAGTATATGGCAATTCACTATTGCCATATACTAGGCCTATATCATTTATGGGACTCATAACATAAATAGTGAAGAGTGGGTGTTACATTGTACAGTAGCATTAAGTGCACCTCTGCCTACCCCTTCAGGGATAAAATGCGTGATGTTATGTTATGTATGCTCTACCTATTACAACGGCTGTGACCATATACACAGATCAAAATAAATATTCATATACCTATCTAACAATACCTACATTATCTGCAGTTCTAACATCATCCATCGAAATATCTAATAGACGAGACTATGGCTCGCTATAGACTATTGACTATAGCTCCATCAAAGTAATGTTCACACGTATATAAAAGTTTGTTTATCATCTGTCATGCGCGAACGTTTGATTCGCACGATCACGCGATGACGTCACACCTACAACACGTGTAGGGATGCACATGAGTATAAGTAAACACATCCCACCAAAAACGTTTTTGTGAATACAATGCCAAGACAAGGCCATATTGACTGCACGGTTGGCGCGGTGGCTGGGCAACTGACTGCCGCGCAACGTGTCGCGGGTTCGATTCCCGCACGGAACAACTCTTTGTGTGATCCACAGATTGTTGTTCCGGGTCTGGGTGTCATGTGTATGTGAACTTGTATGTTTGTAAACGCACCCACGACACAGGAGAAAATCCTAGTTTAGGGCAATTAAAAAAACAAGTTATCGGATGTCTGATTGTAGTGTTAGATTACGTTCTTACTTGGAAAGTACCACAGTTGGAATGCATTAGTTTGCCTTGCACATTAATTGAATTCAAAATATGATAAAACGCTTCATTTAGTTTGTCTTGGCGAAGGGTCAGCACTACATGCACCCAGATGCTTCCCAAAATATGCTCATTGTTTGTATCAGACTGCCAGATATACTTCATATACCTAGGTGGCTTGTAGCTTGTAGCTGGCCACAAGGCTCACTAGTTGTTAGACAAGGATAGCGTAAGTAAAAATCTGTGTTCACGGCCACAGCAACACATGAGGTCATACAACATTACTAATACCAAAACAAAGATGTGATTTATACACTTTAAACAAGTATTTATTCTAACACATAAAAAGTCTATTAAACTAACTACTATAATAGGTTGCATTTCATCTGATATTAAAAACGTGCGCATTGCAATAATAGCTATAATATAATAACCCTAGCGATCGATTCGATTACAGTCTCATTTAGAGTAATAATACTGCGCAGGAGACTACAATGCAAATCGCGTGTGGTGTGGATACATATGTACAGGCGCAACAAGATCCCGCTATTGTTGTTTTCGAACCCGTTGAAATTCATCCCCTAAATTTGTTCATACAAAAGTAGTCTCTAAGCATTGGAAATAAGGTCTATAATGTAGGTAATGGAGAGCGGTCACCGGTGACCGCTTGGGGTTAACCGTATTGTTTATTAGTTCTTGCCCGATTCAAGGATTGCACCCATGGTCTCGTAAGGACGAGTAACAATAGCAAGAGGTTATAGTTAGTATAATGGGGGAGTCCCAATTACCCCCCTCCCCGATTCCCAAATCCCCAACAATCCTTAATTTCCTAAATCCCAAAAGGCCCAGAACGCACTTTTAACTCTGGTGTTTCGGGTGTCTATGGGCGGCCTCGATTGCTTACCAGATGCTCTGTGTGCTCGTTTACCGGCTTGACTATAAGTCAAGTCAGTAACTATACTATAAATTACATAATTATGTCAGTATGTGTAAGTATCAAGTCGTTAAACATAAGGAAAGTATGCCATAAGCGAAATAGGTGTGAAGTTAAATTATGTTAGTTAAATGGAAATAATATTCCATTGTCTTAAATATGGTGAGGCAATAATGATGATCATTATTTACGCTATTAAACTAACACTAACTATATAAGTGCATTGCTCTCCAGTGTAAATGTAGTTAGCGTCATTACATCATTACATTATCAGTGTGTGAGTCAACAAATCTATTCAGCCATAAATATTAGGCAGTGGGTGGTGCAGTGAGATTCTACAACTAGATTCACTCCATTTAACTATAACACTATGAAATTTTTGCATTAATAAGTATTGTGAGGCTTCCAAAATTGAAAATAACGGCTAACCTACGTGAACTAATTATTGACAAAAGCTCTACTGGTTTCAAGTCACGACGGGACTCTTATTCATGAGCAGCGTGCGCGGCGTGAGATGGCGACATGAGTAAGCAATTCTGCTTCCCAACCGATGAATAAGATTACTATTGTGAGTTGAAATCAATTCTGTAGTTCATGTGAGTGCAATATTTTTTCCAATTAATTTATCCTGTGAAATTAGCAGAAAAACTAAATTTGTGATACACTAGCAGTAATTGCAGTGCATGACTACACACTATTGAATAGTAGGTAATGACAGAGGATGTGAGATAAGGGAGCTGTGTCAGTCGCATGTCCTTCATTTTGTAATAAGGTTGTAAATAATGAGCCATTGTTTGTCTGTAGATCAAAGTACTGTTTAAATGACTTAGATCTTTATCAATATCGTTGAATTTAATTTGAATAAAAAAGATTACATTCAGCAATGAATTAGATATTGTACTATACAATAAATCGTGTAACTATTAAAAAAAGTTGTGAATAAAAAATGTAAAAGCTAATTTTGAAAATAGTTTTCTAAGTCATATTTATAATTTTAGCCTGTTCTGACATAATATGACCTGAAATTGCTTATCCACCTCAAATAATTTTCCTCTGCTAAAACATATCCTCTCCGAGTAACGGTATAAATAACCATTCAACAATGATGTATTATATTAATAAAATACTCACACAGGTAACTCCTTTTCTGTCAATGTGTTTAGCTCGGCTAGTTTGTAATTTTTCAATGCATCATCATATGCTCCGCAAGCATAGTTCAGCTTGCCGAGCAGTAGGTGTGCGTCCAGTGCCACCCCAGCCCTCTTGCCTGCTTCATCAGTAGCTAAGGTGAGGTAGCCTCGAGCCTCCGAGAGCTCTCTCTGAGCTCTCTCTATGTTTTCCTTGCTGGGTGGCCATTCCTCAAGGTGTCCTTCTAGCTTGCCCTCCCCTATGAGGAAGTGGGCGAGGCTTTCTGTTGACAAGATTTTCAATAAGTACATGTTAAAAGAGCACTCACAGTATGTAAGATAGGATCTCTATCTTCAAAAGTTTACTTCATATTTCATGATAAATAGCCTGAAGTTTAAACATTACAGTTTTTGAGTCAATTTGTTCATAAAATAAAGTATTATTTCTTCATAAATATTAAACAATGACAATAATAAGAGGAAATATTGATCAAACAATATATAAGTAGGCATTGCAATAGTTGGTAAAACCTAGTCATAAATTATATTATTATATTATAACTGGTTTTGTTGATAACAATATTTTTTCCATAAATAGGTACTGACAGTAATTGTTCCTAATTACTTCATTCTAAAAGTAATTACAAAAAGTGATTGTATCGACCCTAGATACTATTTTAAAAACCTATAAAAAGTTAATGGGTTTGTGTAACTGACATTCAAGGAAACATGAATAAATAATTATCATAATAAACCAGTTGTGACTACACAGCTCTACTACTGATGTTTATCACTAAATACTGAAGGGAAACAGCAAACAAGCATTATATTTCAAACATTTACTGATAAGTAATAATACAGTTAATGTTTTTAAGCTCTCATGATAACAACTGCACTCGAACGACCTAGCTGGGGCTACCTCCCAGTAATATGAGCATGCAGACAATACGTGGCGCGTGTCACTGACCATGCTGTGGAGATCTGGCCTTCAATTGCTGAGCCAAGTCCACTGCCTTCTTCCAATTAGACTCCTCACGGCTTTTCTCGATCTCTGTTTCGTAGACCCGCACAGCATTCTTACTCCTCGATGTCATTTTAACACGGGAATAACTTTATTCGTTTGTCACAGCATTGAATTCATTGAACACTTCACTCATACATTGCAAAACCTTTTGGAAATTGCATTAGTTCCCCAGGATCACCAGCGAATTGAAGGCCAAATTTGACAGATGACAACATAGTTCGCGGAGTTCATTCTGCCATCAAGAGTACTATTCTGTAACACCACAAGATTCTTTGAAACTTGATTTGATCCACATTTGATCGCAGTTTTTAATGGAAGTATTTTAATAAAACGTTTTAATTACAATACAAATATTTAAAAAAAACATACTTGGTTATATAAATTATGGGAATCATTCATGATATGAATAATATCCGTCACTATTATTATATTTTCTATAAAATCACACATACTGTTATTAAATTAATACATTATTTATATTTTAATAACAGATTTTTTTAATATCATGGTCAATATTGATTTCAAGATAATCTAGTTTTTATCAAATATTTTAATTTACTCTGTAACTACATTCGTAAACGTAAACTAATTCGCGTTTCAAACATGTGTCAACAGATGGCGTTACTCGCAACATTTTTCGAAGGACGAGTCGTCGTGTCGATATCTTTTGGAGCTTGTAAACGGATTGAATTTTACATCCTATTTCATACTAATATAAAGTTTATGAATGTGTGTGTGTTTGTCACACCCAAAAACTACTGATCAGATTTAGATGAACTCTGGAACAGAAGTACATTATAGTCTGCAAAAACACATAACATAACATAACATCACGCCTTTTATCCCCGAAGGGGTAGGCAGAGATGCACATTATACCAGTGTACAATGTAACATCCACTTTTCACTATTTATGTTATGAGTCCCATGTAATAGGGGGTGAGCCTATTGCCATATACCGGGCACATTTCCAGACTCCGTGCTACTACTGAAATTTTTAAAAACCCAGTAATACTTTGCCCGACCCGGGAATCCAACCCGAGACCTCTTGACCAGCAGTCGCACTTGCGCCCACTCGGCCAACGATAAACACATAGGGTACTTTTTCCTACAGGATCGTGGGCGAAGCCGCTAACAAAAGCTAGCAAAAGATGAATAGTCAAGATGTCCCCTCGCTTGCAACCTTTGTCAATTAAAGGGCCCGTCACACTCGGTAGTCGCACTCGCGGTTGCAACTTTGCAAGTGTGGTTTTCCCGGGAATCTCGGGTAGGTAAAAGTATCAAAAGTAAGTCGCCTGAATCATAAAAAGTAAGTATCTAATACGTGTTGTTTCTCTAGGCACCTAGAGAATCTAAATACGGAATTAGTAGTTTAATTGAGGCTTATTAACAACATTAATACGGGTTACACATTGACACTTTCTGATTGTTTGCTCTTGAGATATAATAATATGCGTTCCTACTTCCTACTGACGTAACTAAGTAAGTAGATACTTACCTACTTCATTCATTTTTCTAAGGAGAAAGTAGGGACCTTCTGTAATAAGCGAGTTGTGAAAATTAGGTTCATTATTGAGAGCCTCTTAAATAAACATTTTCTTAATTTTGATGGGCCCAATTAACTCCATATTATTTAATTAAGCTGGCGTTAGACCTTTAATTAATATTTTATCTAACCTAATTTAATTTACACAGGCACTTTTAAATTATTATTATTACGAGCTGTTTTATTCCATGGAAGTATTTAATCGGGATAAAAAGTATCACATAAGTCAGCCCATATCCTGCCTGTATGCAAAAGTTCATCAAAATCCGTTTAGTAGTTACAGCGTGATTGACGGACAAACATCCAAACAAAGAAACTTTCACATTTATAATGTTAGTGTTATGTATTTTATACTTCATTACATGGTTATAAATAGGTAGCTACCAAAAATAGGTGTTCCAGATATTATGCCATAGACTAAGTTTCTTTTAATAAGGTACTGTATAGGTATTTGTGTACCTATGTAGGTACCTTATCTGGTTTCTTACAAATATTTCCATCCAAAGGTTGTCTGGAAGAAATCACCATTGTGTGATAAGACCGCCCATTGTACGCATATTTACTTGAATTGTTTGTTTTAAACTACATAAATGTGTACAATAAAGCATATATAAATAAATAAATAAATAAATACCTTTAACATATCTAATTAGATTTAAAAGACGCATGAGGAAGTAAGAATTTAGGTCTAAGACGGACCTTACCTACTATGACTCATAGAACTAACTAATTAATAAGAAAATACATTTAGGTACCTACATGTAATTATTGCCATACATAACTATTTACCCTTGGTTAGATTACGTACTCTAATCTTTGATCTCCAACCTGTTGACATAGACATAACAGCATAGCATAACTTCACGCCTTTTGTAACCGAAGAGGTAGGCAGAGGTGCATATTACGGCACTTAATGCCACTGTACAATGTAACACCCACCCACTTTCCACTATTTTATGTTATGAGTCCCATGTAAGAGGAGGTAAGCCTATTGCCATATACCGGGCGCATTTCCAGACTCCGTGCTACTATTTAGATTATTTTTAAATAACCCAGTAATACTTGCCTGATCTGGGAATCGAACCCGAGACCCCTTGGCCCGGCAGTTGCACTTGCGGCCATTCGGCCAATGAGGCAGTATATAACTATGACATAACAATAATACAAATATCATATATGGTATGTAGTAGGTACCTACATATGCGCAGTCATACGCTTTACATCCAAGTAATTAGACACGTGGCCTTGGAAGGCGTTTACCAAATGTCAGTGTGTACGGCTGCCTAAATCAATAAAAAGATGTCTTAATCAAGTCTGAAGAGGCTTTGATCGATTGGTTACCCACGTCAGTTGCCGTGGCGTGTGAAGGTGAACCGATAGTAGAATGTACATAGACACCGACCCACCAAACTATGTGCTGACACGAAGATACATTACTGTATCTATGTACATGTAGGTACAACTTGAGTATTTATATATAATAATTTATCTTTTCATATTCAAGGGATTTTCTTTTTAAAAGTAACATTTTTTAAGTAGATAGATACTAAAGATGCAAAAGTACCTACCTTTTTGTTAGAGGGTAAAATCATTCAACGACATCTCCCGCATTGGGTGAGGAGAGGAGTGTCAGATTCAACATAACATAAGTAACATCACGCCTTTTTGTCCCCGAAGGGGTAGGCAGAGGTGCACAATACGGCACTTAATGCCACTGTACAATGTCACACCCACTTTTCACTATTTATGTTATGAGTACCATGTAATAGGGGATGAGCCTATATCGGGCACATATCCAGACTTTGTGCTACTACTGAAATTTTTAAAAACCCAGTAATGCTTTGCCCAACCCGGAAATCGAACCCGAGACCCCTTACCCGGCAGTCGCACTTGCGACCACTGCCCGTTGGCAGTAAGAATCTGAGACTGCCTCGTTAGGCAGTCTCAGATTCTTACTGACTAAAAACACCGTTCCTACTTCTGCTGCGAACCCCAGCCCCGAAAACCCGCTAGGTCGTCCTCAGCTCCGAAATACCTACCTACTTTAAATATTTGTTCGATAGACATGTTAAGCATCCTATTAGAACCTCACATAATTTATAGGTACTTTACAGCTCTACTCAAGAATTAAACTCGACTTCTCTTAATAGTTAGCAGTCGCATCTGCTACACTCTAAGTAAACTTTATGCCATTGTTAACGATCAATTTAATGATTCATACGGAAATAATTTTGCTTACTTTGGTATATATATAATACTAGCTTTTACCCGCGGCTTCGCTCGCGTCACAAAAGAATAAAAAGTAGCCTATGCGACATATACCAATACACACAGCGCCATCTATACCAATACTTTTGTTCTTCCTCGGGAATATCAATTTTTTTCCGGGTTAAAAAGTACCCTATTATTTAATCCGGACTTCTAACTTTACGTCTGCAAAAATTCAAAGCAATCGGTTGAGTAGTTACGGCGTGAAGGTGGAACAAACAAACAAACTCACTTTCCGATTTATAATATAAGTAAGGAAAGTAAGGATACAAACACATCTCGCTAGCAGATACCTATAAAGATAAAAGTGATATATCTAATGACAATTGACAAGATACAGGCTGTAGGTACATACATGTACGTAAGCAATTAGCAAAGGATTTGAAGTGATAAATAATTTCGGATAAAAGCTGTTAACTATTACTATCTCTTTTTACATAGATAGGTACAGTACCGTCTTTACCAGGAAGGTACTCGGGGCCCGTGCCCAGGGCCCTCCTCATCCTCACGGGGCCCCGAAGGACAGTACTCACACCCGCTACACGTTGCGATGCACCTGGATGCCGCGTAACGTGTAGCGACTTCGATATCCATACGGAGCAAATCGTTGTGATCCACAAATTGTTGTTTCGGGTGCACATAAGACTCAGGTCTCATGTGTATGTAAACTTGTATGTTTGTAAAGCCACCAACGATACAGCAGAAAATCCTAGTGTGGGGGCAATTTTGTTGTGTGCCCAAAAGCCTAGTGTAATCTAAGATGGCCCTGGATAGATACCTACTATGCTAAAATATACTTAATCCTAAAATAACAGATTTTTCAATATATTATAATTATTATCACGAAAAATCCAACTAGAGACAGACAAACAAGCTAGCTGCATATTTTCAGAAAAAATATAGAAAATCTAAGTACAAATGTCAAACACACGGTTAGTTTCCGTTTCCTTTGTAGCAAACGAAGCGGCTATTATAGCAATATGGCGGAGCTAATGGCAACAATAGAAACTATAGCGAGTAGAGTACGGAACCCCGAGCCCACGCTCACTTACTACAATATAAAAACGTTACGGCCGTTTGATTGACATTTATAACATAACTGCTTCCGAGGCAAGCCGCACGGGACTGGGGCGCGACTGCGGAATATTACCACATCGAGTAATACGCCTTCCAAACATTATAAATTGACAATTCCTTTTGTATTGCAGCTATGAATCATGTCTGTAATTTACCTACAATTGTGTTTTCTGATGAAAAGA